ATGGCTGGGGCTGGACCACCGAGGCCCTGCAGAGGGGACGCGGCCATCCCAAACCGCAAGCGCACCCGGGTATTGACACTCGTTACATTTGCACCCACCCATGCATGTAATCCCACAGATTCCTAATGCTGCAAGCAAACAAATAATCATCCTGCTCCGCCTGACACTGTGGCAACCCCAAATGCCTGCATGCAGTTTCACTTCTTGCTGTCGCTGCTGCTTTTAATGATGGCCAATGGGCAGCTGGAGAGTTATAGCCCCGTTAACACCACCGGTGGGGACGGCATGAATAGCCACCGTACGATGTTGAGACCACAGCAAGAGCTGAATCAAGAAATCAGAATACACCGTGTAGAAAGCTTCATCCAGATAGGTTTAGTAAATAAAAGCCACAAAGCCTTTGATATGAAAGATGCCCTTACCATTATCTCGGGTGGAGATAATCCTACCTCTTCTTGATAGTCACAGGCTTCGCCTGCCCTGCAGAGACCCTTCGACCTATCCTCAGCATCCCCGAAGCATCTCTAACTACTGAGCAGAGGCAAATCCTCTTGCAGCGCTGGAGCAGCGCTTTCTAAACCACATCTGCAGAAGGTTTTTAAGCAATCTTGCTACCAGGCAGGCAGTGAGCTCAGGGCTCGGGGAGCCCCGAAGAAACCCATCCTGCTAAATTAATAGCCAGTTCTGTTAAGATTTCCACAATGACAAATGTACATATTTATCTGGTCCCCTCTGATATGCACTTAACGGGCAGCATTGTATTTCGAGGCAGCAGAAATATCTCCACACATCTGTTTTTCCAGTTCTGCCAAAGAGCTTTCATTTTTCTCTAATAACTTGACCTGTTTGCTTTCTGGCAGAAGACGGCTAAGCAGAGCACTCGCTCTCTGGATTCACTCCAGTATGGGATGAGGTCAGGACAACAAAGAAAAAGAAACAGCTGGATGGCTACAAAGCAGTGGGAACAAACAGGGCAGGGACCAGGGCTTTTTCTTTCCTTCCCTTTTTATTTATCCAATGGGATTTCATTCCTGGGCGTATTTATTCCCCCAGCAGATGGTATCGCAAAAGCAGTATTTCCTGCAAGCCGCCGTTGTGGGGAGCCTCCTGCAGCAGGCTGACCGTACCCAGGGTGCAGGTATAAATAGCACAGCCAGCTAATCCCTCCTCTGGTCAGCTGTCAGGAAATGTGAGGCACAGGTCCTAGGGGTTTCCACTGAGATATTGCATCTCCTACACAAACATTTTCATCTTGATTTTGGCAAGGTGGGGTTCATACCCCACAGTCCCACTTTATTTTTCCATTTCATCACATTCTCATTAGTCTACCCAAGGCTTTCTGGGCTGGGGGCTTTCACCTTGCATTTTTTATTCTTCATTCTTTTTCCTGATATTCAGCTAAATCATCTGAAAGCAGCAAGCAGAAAAATTGCCAGTGAAGCAGGAAGGAGGTGGAAAAGAGGGGAGAGATGAGGGAATGGAAGACAGGGAGAAGACATGCAAGCACAGGAGAAAGACAGCGAAGCAGTCTGCACATGTTCCCTGTTCGGAGAGTTTCTCTCTCCCTGACCTCACTTTCTCCACAGCCAGAAATTCCACCTCAGGACTTGCCAAGGAGACAATGCAGCATTCCTCTGCTGGGCCACAAAGCAAGTGTGAAATGTTCTGTTTTAATCATTTACAGAACAAAAGGAACACAACAGTCACCGTCTGATTCATATCTGCTGAAAACCAGCAGCCAAAGCTGTGGGAGAGGAGAGACAGATGAAGAAAGGAAAGGAAGAGGAGGTGTGGGTTTGGTTTGTTTTTTTTCTTCTGGTTAGTCACTGTGGACCTAAGGAAAGACAAGAAGGACCACGCTGGATTATACCAAAGTTTAAGAGCCCCTGGTGTCCTCTCTCTGACATGGCCTCTGGTAGATGACTGCAGAGAAAATACAAGGGACAGTACAAGTACAAATGCTGTTTCCTCTAGTACATGATCCCGTTTCCCTTCCTGACCCAGAGGTTGTAGCTGCATCATCAGGTTTGAAAGCCCTTCATAGACCTTTCTTCCATGATGTTTTCTAATCACTTTTTGAGCCCATTCATACTTTTGGCACCCTGGACATCCTGTGGCAGCGAGTTGCACAATGGAATTGTGTGCTGTGTGAAGACATACTTCCTTTGCGTTGTTTTAAACCTTTCCGTATTTCACAGAATCACAGAGTGGCTGAGGTTGGAAGGAACCTCTGGAGGTCATCTGGTCCAACCGCCCTGCTCAAGAAGGCCTACCTAGAGCCAGTTGCTCAGGACCGTGTCCACATGGCTTTTTAATATCTCTGAGGAGGGAGACTCCACAACCTCCCTGGGTAACCTGTTCCAGTGAACAGGGTTCCAGTTCTGGGGACTGCATTTCAGGAAAGATGTGGACCAGCTGGCAAGTGTCCAGAGAAGAGCAAAGAACACAACCAGAAAACATGGCCTGTCAATGTCGTGGTTTAATCTCAGTCGGCAACTAAGCACCACGCAGCCGCTTGCTCACTCCCCCCCACCCGGTGGGATGGGGGAGAGAATTGGAATCTCTTCATCATCCTTGTGGCCCTTCGCTGGACTGTCTCCGGTATGTTCGTGTCTCTCTTGCACTTATTTCCTTCTATGCCATTCATAATTCTTGTACTTCTACCGTATCCTCCTTCAAGCATCTCTTTTCCACGTCATCAAGTTGTAGCTTACTCAGTGTCTGCTTTCGTAGAAGCTGCTCTGTCCCTCAGTCACCTTTGCCTCCCTTGCCTGGTACTTCTTCAGGGAACATCAGAAATGTGCTCACTGCTCAAGGTACAGGTGAGCCATGCACTGACTTACACAGCAGCAGACCACAGGGAGATTTCCAAAGGTTGGGCATAGCAAGCACAGCACCAGTCTTTAAGACGAGGAGAGAAAGAAGAGTTAGAAAGTGATTTCCCAGTCATTGTTAATTCCATCCTTGGAAGCACCAGAACGACCAAAGGCTTTGCAAACATGTAGAAAAGGAGTAATAGCCAGCACAGATTCAGCAAGAACAGAGCTGGTCAGACTCATCTAATCTTCTGTGATGAGGTAATAAACCTTATAGATGAGGGAGGAGGTGCAGATGCCGTATATGTTGCCGTATAAGTAAGCCTTGTGATACTGTGTCGTATGGCATCACTATAAGCAAGAGAGGGACACCTGGACTAGGAGAAAGTATGAATAGATGGCTGCATCACTGGTCAAAACCCTTCTTGCAGGTTAGTTACTCATGACATGAGGCAACGCAAAAAGCCTCTCATAAAACTGATACTGATCAGCATTTCCATGAATGACTCAAAATCCAAGCATGGCTTTTTACGTTTGCAGTTGACAGCAGGCTGGGACAAGTAGCATGGAAGCTGGACGCAGGACTAGAGGTCAAGGCAGACTTGACGAGCAGGTAAAAAAGGATGCGATCCAGTGATCCTCCGTTGGGATCCTCCTCCAGCCCCTGCACAGAGGACAAGAAACTCTCAGTCTGACCCGTGGAAGGGCTTTTCCCTGCTTATGCCTGCCTTTGGCAGCACAATGCGTAATTGGCTTAAATTACAGAAATTTAGTTAGACACCAAGAAAACCCTTAGAGTGCAGTGAAGCACTGGGGTGGATTGCCTAGGAAGGCTGCTAGGACAGGTTGGTCGTCCATGTGGGGTGATGGGTGAACTGGAGGTGCTAGTCCTGCCTTCAGGCAGAAGAGAGGTGTAGCTGACCTCTTAAAGTCCTGCTCAGACCTGCTTTTCTGTGATTTTTATGGTGATGATGCTTTGTTACAATATTGATATTTTGTCTCAGGATGTTGTTATTATAATGCTGCTTTATTCTCTGCTCCTCTACTAATAACTCCTGCTGTTCAGGTGGCTGATTTGACCAGGGCTGAGTATTTTTGACCTGGTATTCTCAGGCCCCGCTTACACGATCACTTCAACACAGCATAAATCTGAGCTGCTACTGGGATGATCTTGTCCTTTCCCCCTCCAACATGTGCTTGCTCTTACCCCCTCGCTTGCCTGGCACCGCAGACCACGCAGCTGTGCATGACTCAGGACAGGAGACTGATCCAGCTGAAAACTCACCAGCGGGGAGGGAGGCAAGAGGAGAGATCAGTTTTCCATTACTTGTTCTGCTATCTCACATCCTTTGTCTGTCTTGTCTACCTTGGATGGAGCAATCACGTCTTGTGCTGTGTTTGGAAAGCAGAGTGGAAATGTAAGGTGATACAAGCCCTGGTTTGAATAATCTTTTCCAGACTGAGGGATGTCTAATACTGCTGTGCAGAGGAAAGCGGTGTCCGAGCAGCTCCTGCTGCCCCTCAGCTGGGAATGGGGCTGTGCGGAAGCCCTGGGAGATGCCAACCACCACCTCAGGAGGCAATGGATCATACTGGATGGCACAGACTATTTCCCCATTAACACGAGGAGGATGCCAGGAAGCCGGTTGTCCCGTGTTACAGCCCTGATCCCTGCCTCTCCAGGGCCCTGCCCCTTGACCACGGGTCACCACGAGCCTCACTGTGCACATCTAAATCATCTGTCTAGCTGCTAATGCACTTCTTTGCTACTCAGCTAAAACCAACCAAATCTTGTTATTTGGGAGAGGGAGCTTGTTCTTTGTCACTGAATACATTTGCTAAGACTTGGAGGGTTTGCCACGGTTAGGAGAAATGGGCATGTGTCACTGAGGGAAGGCACCGGTCAAGGGATAAGATGGGGAAGATCAAGAAGAAAAGGAGCTGGTGGAAGCTGTGTCACTGAAAATGCATTTTAAAGTTACTTGACTTGTTTTAACAGCAATCGGGTAATGAATGAGGCTGCCAAGGGAAGGCTCTTGGCTTTATTCCCATTCCCTGTTAGACACTCCTCTGGGTGAACGCATGTCAGAGCAGTCTCTATCCTGACACCAAGTGGAGAGAGCTCACAAGGACTCCTTTAAGATCAAGTGTATGAGACTGCCAGTGAGGACAGCTGCCGGCCCAGCCACCCCTTCAAGCACCAGCGAGGCATCATACAGTTTATTTTTGTATTTACAGGAATTTTTTCAAGATCCTGGCTCTTAGCAGCAGAGGTTTACAGGAGAGATAATTACACATGATAAAAATCACCATTCTGCGCTCCTGCAGTTTTTACCCTCCTACCCGAAGTTTCCACTAGTGCCGCATGTGGTGAGCAGCCCAGTGGGTGCATGCGGAGAATCCTTACTGGTGACAAGGTGAGTTTTCAGAGCGGCGGGGAAGTCGCAGAGTCACAGACTGGTTGAGGTTGGCAGGGACCTCTGGAGGTCATCTGGTCCAAGCCCTCTGCTCAAGCAGGACTGCCTAGAGCTGGTCGCCCAGAACCGTGTCCAGACAGCTTTTGAATATCTCCAAGGATGGAGAATTCATTGCCCTGAAAATGAAGAGGAGGGTGCCTTTTCCTTGGGAGGAAGGGCCGGTGCTCGGTCGTATAGGTGACGGGCATTGCAGCGTGTGGGGGCGGTCCCACCATGCTGCCGAAGAGCAAGGAAAGGTGCACAGACCCGAGCCTCACGTCTCTCCCAACATATCTAATTTGCACTTTCCCACATGCTCCATCTCCAGCCTTCCCCCATTTTCTCAGGAGGGGTTGGGGGCTTGATTTCCCCCTTCCTTGCACATCAGACCTCCTGCAGAAGTTTCCCAGTGTGCAGCTCAGGTCCTCACCCCCACCTTACCTTGAGCACCTAACTCCTCCTGAGCAACACATCTTTTTTGACCTTGGCCCTGGAATGAAGGGGAGATCACTGCCAGATAGGGCTCCCCCATGGATTCAGCCTCCGAAGCCTTCAGCTTCCCATGCCCATTTGAGGTTATATTCTCCCTGGGTGTTTTACTCTTCATTCTCTCTTTACACACCTCTACTTCTGCCTCCCGGGGAGGGGGGAAAACCCTCATTGAGTTGCAAGGCACCAGAAAGTCACAGAAGCTCCAGTGCCAGCCGTGGGCTAAACCTCAAACCCCCAGCCAAGAAGCAGCAGCATGTGAGAGTGCTCTGCACCAGAAAAGTGACAGCTTCTCTCCCAGGGAAAAAAAATCTGCATCAAACACAGAAAGGTCCTAAAAACATCTGGCATCGAGCTGTGCCATCCCTCTGATGGATGGCATTCAAAAGCAACACAGAAAGGAGGCACTGGTGATGATGAATTTATGCAGTGGAAAGCATTCAATGGCTGCCCTGTGTTTTAAGTCATCCCCTAATTACTTTACATAGGAAAAAAGGAAGAGGAAATGTATCACACACGGACTTACCCAGCTGATCCAGAGCAAAGAGGGCTGGGGCACCTTCGGAGAGCTCATTGTCTGAGGGAAGAAGAACAAATGCTTGGAAAGGTCAGCTGGAGAGGGAAGCGTGGAGAGCTGGGGTGACAATGCTGTTTTAATCGCACTGCAGATAAGCCCCTGCTCAACTTGCTTCCAGTTCACCCCTGACAGTCTTTATATGTGTGTTTCTTTTAATCCAGCTGTTACTGAAAAACCTTGGAGGCAGCTCAAGATGGAGACTTGGCAGGATGAACCCTTATACCCCTCCAGCATTGCCAAAGAGCAAAAGCTCTGCTGCCCTGTCTCTGCCCATGCTGGGATCCCCTGGCCGTGCTCCCCATTTTGGCCATGCCATGGCTCTCTGCTCCCTTTCCCCGTCTCACCCGGGTCTCAGGGTACGGCCAGGAGCATCCTGCCTGCAGCAAAGCTTTCCTGCGTGCTACAGTGTCCTCCAACAATGGCAGCTGGGGTAGGTTTAACCAGTGGGAGCAGGAAAATGCTCCGGCTGGAATTTTTCAGAGGCTGAGCAAACCCTTGAGTCATCTGATAATAATATTGCTGTAACTCAGTGCCTGTGGCAGGTTAGACCATGAGCTCTGGAAACTCCTGAGCCAGTGGCATCTCTCACTGAAAGCTCGTGGGAGATTATTTTGGATCCCAAGCCCAATCCCACCATGAGCCCACCCATCCTCGCCTGCTCCGCGCTGCAGACCACAGCGCACAGGGATCCCTCACTGCCAGAAGGACCTGCAGCCACACAGGAGCATGTGGCCAAGTGTTAAATGCCATTTGTGCCTTGGAGTTGGTGGGGATTTCTTTATTTTCAAACATTTCTTTCAATGTCAAAATACTGCTAAATTGCAGAGACTCAATGCAATTTAAAAAAAAAAATAAATAAATTTGCAGAGAGTGGTTTTTTTCCTGTTGGTTTTTGTTTTTTTTTTTCCTTTCAGATCCATGACATTTGTTCAATGTTCATGGGTTAGACTAAAAAACCTTTCGGTCTGGAATCTGTGGACTGCTCCTAGGGTGTTCAAGGAGAATGTTTAAGAAGGGCAGGTGCATGACACCATATAGTAATCCATACTTGTGACATTTCTAAGAGATCTTGCCCCCCACTATAAAATGCTGTTATGCCCATCAGTTAGAAAAAGCTGTGAGCCACTAGTTTAGGATAGCAACAGGCTGCATATAAAACAAAAGGCCAATGTATAACCACATTTAACTGTTTGGGATTTTTATAAACTCCTGATGGCAGTGACTCTGCCCTCCTCTGCATTACAGACCCAAGCACAGTGGGATCCCAAACCCAACAGTATAACCCAACCTATAAACGGTAACACAGACCATGCACATGGCGAAGATTTTAGAAAAATGACAGAAGCAGAGATTGTTCTAATGGGCAAAAAGGATGGACTGCAGCAAGCATCCCTGTGCTAGTCCCGTGGAGCCACCCTGGGCCGGGTACCTGCGGAAGCAGCAGATGTGCTATCATAAGGGTGCCACCCAGTGGTGCTTGGCTGGGGAGATTGAACCCAAGGCTGCTGGGTTCAAAAGCATAAACTTCCTTATCTAATTTAACTCTCGTGGAAAAGGAGGCAATGCTGCATCTTGGACTGTCCCCTTCCCCAGGCATCTGGGCTATCAGTGGGAAGCCAAGGGAAACAGATGGAGATAAGCAAAGCATTTTACCAAAGCAAAATGTTTCTGTTCCCAAGGTGCTGTCATCTGGAAGGCTGTGGGTTTATTTTGGTTTTAGTCCGGGGCACAGTGTGTCCCAGCCAAAGAAGGGGCTTTGCCCAAGGAGGGGCAGCTTGTGCTGGCCCGGGGGATGGGGACCTCCGGTGATGAAGATGAGCTGGGGCTGAGCAGGGAGCACATGTGGCTGCTTCTGCCAGATGTTCGAGCAGGGATTAAAAAGCAAATTACAGCAGCTGGAAATTAGGTAGAGATGAATCGATAGTTCTACTGGCTATTTCGCATTGCATCTGCCCTGAGTGCTTTCCTGAGATTGGCAATTTCTGGAGAGTGATGGACCCTAGCCTTGGGCTGGGAGGTCTTGTGTCATGCTAAGGTGGGCTGAAACCTTGAATGGTCCTGCACAGGGAGCCCCAGCCAGGGCAGCCCTTGGCCCTCCTGTCACTGCTGGGACAGCGTGTCTCCCTGGAGCCATCCTAAATTGTCCCATGCAAATATGATTGAAGAAAGAAAGGGGTATTTTACTGGCTCTCCTCCTCACTCCTCCCTGACCACTGCCATCTGCAGAGTCCTGCTTGTGGAGCATGAGGGTGGTCACATCTAGCACAAGTGGCATATTAACTTGCCAAAAGGTGGGTGTTGGGGGTTTTTTTTGGCAAAAGGCCACTCCAGAGAAGGAAGACAAGCCACAAATCGAGTGCCTGTGTCAGTGTGCCAGCTCCTGGCAAGATACTGCAGTTTGGGTCAGACCTTTCCCACCTTCATACCGAGTATTGCCTTGCTCTGGACATAGCCCAGCAAAACCCCTGGGACCACTGCAAGCACAGTGAAGGGCGGCAGCACATCAGAAAGGCTCCCAGCATATTCACTGGGTGGATTAAAAACCAGCAATCATGTCCTACCTCCTTTCACACTGGCAAAGGGATGGATCCCACCATGAGACAACCAGTTGGTTTCATCCAGCTTCCAGTTTTCACCAGGGTCCATCTCTGATCTGCAGCATCAAAGATCTGCTCGCAATGCCTCCTGCCGCTCTCTCTGGGAAATAACCAGAAGATACTCTGAGTGCCTGTCGTGGTCCACACCATGGCCAGCTGCTGAGAAGCTTCCCTCAGCAGAGGAAAATGTCTTGTAAATATTTCAGGAAAAAAAAGGAAAAGAAAAAAATCACATGGCTCACAGGGGACTATTGGACCAAGGAGCGGCTGACTCTGCCAAGCCTTGACTTATCACGTCGACAAGTCTCCCTGCTGTGTCAAAACGCCACCAATGCTTGGACCTCTTCCATTTTCTGTTGTCAGTCTGACCAATGCTGAGAAATTCCTAATCCCTTACAATATTTGCAGGGATGGGGTTTTATTTCTGAGCAGGGTGATGTGCCACAAGGGTGTCCATCGGGGATGAGTGTCTCAGTTCCACATGCCCAGCCTGACTGCACCCCAGGGTCCCAGCTGACGAGGGGAGTGGGCAGGGGTGTTGGCCCTTGCTCCCACATCCCAGCCCCGCCATGGACAGGGGTTACAGGCTGGGAGTTATCAGTTACACATTACAAGCCGATGCTACCACTGGCCGCTTGGTTCTCGCAGCTGCCCAAGCCCTGGAGCAGTGGCTATGAGCCACTGGGGAAGGATGGAGGTTATTGAACAGTTAAAGCTGGAGCTCCTAATCCCAAAAACTCCCTTTCTGGTGTAGACACTGAATTATTTTCCTGTCTATCGGCCATTCGGTACTACCTACAGGTTTGCTGCACCTGGGAGTCCATGGGAATATGTGGAGGCATTTTCCCTCCCTGACCCCTTGGACCTGTGCATCCCCGGTGGGGTAAGCACACAGGGGCATTTCATCCATTCCTAAATTTTCAGGATTACACGGATTTGGGAGGGAATAAAGTCCTTCCAGCATCAACAACCTCTAATTTATCAAGGAAGCACACACCAGTGTTGGGATGCAACAAAAAGTTACTGCAGAGCTTTTTTGCCTCTGCGGGAAGATGCTGAAGTGGGGGTGACAACAGGGACTTTCCCTAACATTGTGTGAGCCAAACCTGGACCCCAAATGCCACCAATGGAGCTGGTTTCACGGCGAGGTGAGTCCCCTGGTACCCACCACAATGGAAGCTGTGCATCTCTACTCAGCCCCTGATTTTCATCATCATCATTTGTAGGAATTTGTTGTAATTTAATGCTGTCAGGGTGCTCCTGGGAGGGACGGGCAGGTAGTAATGGAGGGACACCATCACAGCAGCACCATTTCCTTAGGAAACCTGGCAAAGAAAGAGGTGGATGGGCCCTGTCCCTATGGGGAAGCGAAGCATAACCGAGCCACACCATTGCATTTCCCAAGCACTGGCGTACCCCAGCCACCATCCCATCAGGGGGAGATGCCAGAGCTGGGCGGTCTGTGGGAAGGGGCGGCACCCCCACGTCGGCTGTCGCCCCAGTGGCTCCAGTCCTGAGCCCTTGCCCCAGCGCGCTGCTGGGTCTCACCAGGGTGAGCCAGCCAGACCTGCGAGAGGTCATTTCACCCAGTCTCTTGCTCAACACCTTAATTCAGTAGAATTAAATACTTGTGCATATGCATTTGCTGAGCAGCAAACAGGACCGGTCACTGCCGCATGCAGGTGGAGCTTGACTGGGGTTTTTTGATGTAGCAAATTCACCCAAAGGGCAATTAATAGGTACTGAGACTTTGGGTGAATTTGGGTTCAATATGTAATGAGTTTTAGCTGAAAGAGAAGAAAAAAAGTTCTGAGAAAAGCTGCAAGGCTCCATTTTGACGTTTCTAAAATGAAACATTTTTTGTTGTTCTTTCAAATGATGTTTTTAGTTTGAAAGTGACCTAGTTTGCTTTTTCTTTTCTCTTCTTTTTTTAAGTTATGAAAAGCACTAAATAATCTCAAACCAGAATGTCTCATGTAATGCTTATGAAAAGAAATCAAAGAAGAAAAGAAACATTCTCCTTTAGGGGGTGACCCAAAACAAAAAGTATTTTCAACTTTTCTGTTCAGCCACTGAAATGAAAAACCTATTATTTGTACAACTCCACTACTGAAAGGCATCTCGTCAATGTGTACTGCTGGCAATTTATTCTTTCCACCTGCCAAGGGAGAGGTTTGTCTGCAAGTTCAATAAAAGTATGAGAGAAAGAACGAAAGGGCAATTTATCAACATAACGTAGAAGATAAAATGGATTTTCCATATTCACTCGTTTCGCTGAAAGAAGAAAAACGCAAACCTCCAGAGTTCAGCTCTTTGTCCACTGTCCCCTTCTGTTCAGAATCGTATAGACATGAAATCGTATGGACACGAAATCGTATAGACACGAGTCCTGAGCTCCCGTCACACAGAAGATTAATTGCAAATATAAAACTTCTGACTTTACTGATGCATAAGGTCCAACCAATACTAGAGAAAGCAAAAGCCAAAATTTATTTGGGACAATAATACTGGCAATGAGAAACACCTAAAAGATCATAAACCTCAGTCATTGCTGTAGCTTTAGGGCATCCATCCCTTCCCTTCACAGCAGAGCTTGGTGCCAGCAGAAGCTGGTGGTGTCAGGTCCTTGGGGCCAGCATCACAGGATCAGGTATGGGTTTATGGTCCCTGTCTCACCACAGAGCATCCGTCGTGCCCACCTTCCGCTGCGGCCACCCAGCAGGATGGGATGGGAGGGAAAGGGGTGGGTACGAACACGGACCAGGGCCCACTAGCTGCATTAGCGTTCACGCAATACACTTCTCACTAAAATGCAAAGCTGAAGAAAGAGGCATTGCTGCTCAGCCTGGTGTCTCGCAAGGGCTGGGATTTATGCTCCAGCTGCTTGAAGCGCTCAGCCTTGTTGCAGTCAATAGTCAACACCTATTACCTCCGTCTTTTAAGAAGACAAATCAAATGTCGTATTTTCCAAAGTGCCTGCACTCAGATCCTAGACAAATCAAATGTCATATTTTCCAAAGTGCCTGCACTCAGATCCTATGTTCAGTCTTCATTTAGGGCAGGGGGAGCTCATTTTACACACCTACAGCTTCCACCAGTCCTCTAAGAAAAAACAAGAAAAGACTTGACTCACATTCCTGCTATATGTCATATCCTGATACAATATAAAAAAATAATAGGGGCTGAATTAATTAAGACCCCTTTCACTTCACAGCTTTCACTATACCTCAATAGCACCCACACAGATCACAAGCCACTGTCCATTTTCAGCCTAACCAGCAAATCTCTTCCGAACTGCAGAATAAAATAGCTTAATATTGGAATGACCATTTCAGCAATATTTTACAACCCCTCTAATCTGTAAGAAGTGGCTGGGGGAGGACAAGCCCCAGTTAAGCTCCTCTTCTGGAGCATTTCCAGTTTAAGACAATCTGCCAGGCAGCCTCTCTGGGCACCCAGCAGCTGCACAGGGATTTTTTTTTTTTTTAGTACCGTAAACTGCAGAATTCACACGGCCAGAACAGCAGGAAAATAAAAGTTAATGACCTGAGACTAACCCAGACAGACAAGAGATTAAAGCGTCAAACCCTAAATGCTCCAGCACACAGGGGCTTGATCTGGAGGACAGGAAGAAGCCAGCAACATTTGCCCAAACACTGCCCTCAAAATTGCCTCTATCCACATGGCTCACCAAAACCAGGCGCTGCTAAGCAGAGATGCAGACGCTGTATGAAGGATCTCCCATTTCTCTGAGCTATTGTATCTCCTTACATACGGTTCAACTTCAGAGCTCTAGCTGCATCCACCTGCTTGACTGGGGGTAAAAATCACTGGCATCTTCCAGAAGATGCAGACTCAGCTACTTCTTCTCTCCTCCATTAGGAATGAAGGAGGGCACAGTTTCGTGAGATGCTCAGTCAAATCTGACCTGGGCATTGCTAGGGCTGGTGACCACCTAGGGCTGGTGACCACCTAGGGCTGGTGACCACCTAGGGCTGGTGATTACCTAGGGCTGGTGACCACCTAGGGCTGGTGATTACCTAGGGCTGGTGATTACCTAGGGCTGGTGACCACCTAGGGCTGGTGACCACCTAGGGCTGGTGATAACCACACACCACCTTGCTTGTCCGACCCCCAGAGCAGCATACAGGAGCCCTTTGCACTTAATGATTTGTTTGTTTAGATAAACAACCTTTCAAACTCCTTGTAGCACCTAAGAAGAGCTCACATGTGAACTCTTCTGAGCAGGATCTGGCCCAGGGGAGTCGGGCAGCATGGGGTGCACACAGCTGGTTCCTGGGCAGCAGAGCAGCCCCAAGACACACCATCACAGGGCTTGGTGACCAGGCCAGGGTGGGTGACTGCAGAGCCACCACCAGCATGTCGCAGCCTGGTGTAAAGGGGAAGTGAGCATTGGCAGGGACTGGGGCAAGAGAAAGGGCTACACAACAGCTGAAGTGGCCACCAGCCATGGGAGGTCTGGTAGATGGGGCAGCAGGGAGGACACTGAGGAGAGTGGGGTTGGGTATCAGTTTGGCGAGGGAGGGTGGGACAGAGGAGAGAAATCTCTGTTTTGCTCATGTTGCAAACCCTGCAATGGGGGCCGGGCATTGCTAGTGTGTTTTCCAGCAAGAGAGGGCATCGACCCTAACCTGTGCCTCCGAGCAATTTGTGGGGTCTGGGATGGACGTTCACGACACCAGAGGGATGAAGTGGCAGCCAAGGCAGGACTGAGGCTGAGGCAAGAAGCAGGGACTGAAGAAGGGAGCTTGGTCCAGCTGGAGAAGAGGGAGAGAGCTCGGGCAGACTGCGGGAGAAGGTCTCGGGCAGCAGTCTTGCAGCAACCACACATGGGATTAAATGCTACAAAACAGATCCCTTTCCCTGGGATGTTTCCCAGCACCCTGCAAAAATACTGGGATAGCGACACAGCCTTCCTCTTGTCAGGCATGGGCTGGAAATGTCCAGCCCCATGCTCACCAAAATGATATATACATCCTTACCGTGCCTGTTCCAGCCCAGTGCTCACCAAAATGGTATATACATCCTGATGGTGCCTACACGGTAACCCAGATTCTTCCCACTCCCAATGAGTCCAGA